ATAAGCTTAAAGCTAGAGTTAAAAGCTTCACAAGAAGAAACCTATATCACTACACACATAAAGCTGTATGTCTGATCTAATAAGACATGGAATAAAAGGAAGCGAAATTGAAAGTAGTCATTTACACTAAAACTTGGGTATCATGTAGTTGTGTTGTTTTAGCAGGTGTTTCTGTATTTAATGTTTAGTTTCGAACCAATTTTGCCAAATTGTTAAAGTTCATTGAAAATCATCAAAAACTAATGAGTTCCTAAATTATGCGAAAATAAGAAGCCAATAGTTTTTGATGACTTTCGACGAATTTTAACAATTTTACAACGATGGTTTGAAAGTGAACATTAAATACAGAGAGAGAAATGGGTTTAACGTCCACTCGACACAAACTAGGTCATTTTGGAACTAACATATGGTTTAATTTTATTTCAATAATTCGCTTGCGCGTAGGCGTCTTTAGCAGTGGGAGGAAACCGAAGGACCCGGAGAAAACCCACAAGCCTACCCCTTGTCACGTACAACCGAGGATTCGAAACCACGCCAGTTGATTCAATGACAGGCCTTATGATACAGCGCGCACGTGCTAACCATTCGGTCATCCAATCCCCCTTTAAATACAGAAACTCCTGCTAAAACAACATAACTACACGATACCTGAGTTGTAGTGTTATCTATTTACTATTTCAGTAATAAAGCTAAACTGAAAGTAGCCATTTAAATATAGCTGGGACAAAAATATGCTTGAAGTTAAACGATCATAAATTCAAGAAATGTATATTTAATTTTTAGAGATATTTTGAAAATAAATTTATGTATGTAGGCCTATCAATGATAAAAATAAAATTTAATCGTACAAGAATCAGCCAATGCGGATAAATATTTCATATAATTCAATCAATATTTTCTATATAAACAATATTTGATTTCATTTAAAATTGGATTGAGGGACAGGCTAGACCTGATGACCCCTGACCCCACTCCCCAATGAAATCAATTGTTGATATCAAAAATCTTTTAATTGAAAGGGAAACTTGGTGAAACATTGTACAATAAGCTTACATATATTAAGTGGATATTAAATAATACTATAGAAGAAGTTACCTGTCATGATAGAAGCTTGTTGCATGGCACCAACAGCAACATATTGTAGTGTTTTACTTATATTAGTTATCTGTTGACTAGCATCAGTAATTAGATCATGTATCTATTAAAAATCAAATACATATTGGTATATTAATTTTAATCTGTTTTCAAAAGGGGTGAAGGTGAAGGGGTGAGACTAACAGAAAGAAAGACAAATGGGGTTTAACGTCCCCCCCGACACTCGACAGGCAACCCTACTCCTTGTCAAGTACAACAGGGAATTAAAACCACGCCAGTTGACAGACCTTATGATACAAAGCGCACACCCTAACCATTATGCAATCCAACCCCCAAACTAACAGAAAAAAATTTTCTTTAAATTTTAAAGCTACTGAATTGAAAATGGTTCAAGTAGTTAAGAAAATCATTGTAGAAATGTAGTTCCGAATAAAATATAGTAATTCTTTTCCAGATAATTGTGTTTAAAATAGCTAAGTCTCTAACTCAATATCATCTAAAGTCTTCAACATTAAAACATGAACTATTAGTCAATTTAAATCAACATTGATGTTGTGATCTTATCGGGAACAGATGGGTTTCTGATATCCAGTATTTAAGACAAAATAAACATTTTACCATTGGTACAGGAATCGTGTACCATAATGAGTTTCGGTGCCATTTGTAGCAAGGGACTCGAAGGATGAGGCTAGACATACAAGTCATGTCAAATGGTGACAATATATTCTTATCTGGAGAGCATGCGCAATAAATTCAATTGAGACTTCTGGAATATATCGCAGAACATAACTGATTTAAAATTAGAGTAAAAACGGAAACGATTGAATGTAAATCAGTTTATATACATTCATATTACATTATTATATGCGTTGCGACCCATTTGTGTCAATTTCTATGTGCCAAATATTAGCGATTTAGCTCCTTTAATCTAATTGTTTTTTTTTAAAATTAACAATATACAAATACCTCCTTATTAAAGCGTAGAGGAGTAGTATTTGATGATCCTTCTTGTGGCAGGCGACGTTTTATCTGAAATGATATGAAACAATTAGGGGATGCTTGACTGTCAGTCAGGAACATTCAGAATTGAAAGAATTGCAATCGAGCGACACAGAGCACAGAATTCAGTCTTGTCAAAGTTCTATCAGTCCTGTCACAGTTCTATCAGTCCTGTCAAAGTTCTATCAGTCCTGTCAAAGTTCTATCAGTCCTGTCACAGTTCTATCAGTCCTGTCAAAGTTCTATCAGTCCTGTCAAAGTTCTATCAGTCCTGTCAAAGTTCTATCAGTCTCATCAACTGAAGTAGTGTGTGTAAAATAGTGATGTAATTAACATTTTAACCCAGGTATCATTTAATCTTGTGTATTTAGCACTAATTTCTTTCACATTCATTTAATATCAAATCTTTGTTTAAAAATATGTAAACTTCATTTAAAATCACCAAAAATCATCTAATTTATACTTGTGTCCAGTTTAAAACTGACTGATTAATTTTGATAGCAAGTGTCCAATTTACAAGTGTTTAATTTCCTAATAGTTTATATAACATTTCAGGCCTAAAGAAAGACCTACAATAGGCAGATTTACCTCTTGCATAATGCATGTAGACTATAGCAATTTATTCATTTTCTAGCAGATATAAATAGCTTTTTTTAATAGACTATAAACATTTATTGACTTTGTAGCACACATTAGATATATTTAAAGTTTATTTAATAATAACTTTTAATTACCCTTCTAGCACACATCTAATTAACCTTCTAGCACACACGTGACATAAAAAAGGTTTATTTAATAATAACTTTTAAACTTTTAATTACCCTTCTAATGCACATGTGACATAAATTTATTTACCCTTTTAGCACTCAATGTAATATAAAAAAAGTTTATTTAATGATAATTTTTAATTACCTTTCTAGCACACATCTTGGTATCATTATTACAGGTCTCTAGATCTCTCAGTAGTATACTAAACTCACTATTCTCTTGACCAGGCTGTAAATCAAGGACAATAACTATACAAGTAATTATCAGAAATTGTTTAAATACAATTCTTCTTTCAGTTGGTTCAAATAATGCATGTCTATTTAAAGCAGAATGGACAATATATATGAAGTAAACATTGGCCATAGGCCTTTTTATCGACCCCTGATTAGACAAAGTGATTTGCATTCAATCAAATTCAATCAAACTCAAATGGATAAACTTAATCAGTGAATTAATTGACACCCATTTCCGAAGCGATTACCCCAATTTGCCAAATCACCTCAAGGTGCGATTTGTCGATTTTATCAGGTGTCCAGCCACAAGAATTGTTTAAAGCTAATCGGCGCATTCAACAAACTCACCAAAGGGCTTTGAAATTGACTACACTGTCACATGACAGAGAGAGGGGGTTTAAAGTCCACTCGACACAAACTAAGTCATTTCGGGACTAACATATGGTTTAATTTTATTTCAATAATTCGCTGGCACGTAGGGGTCTTTAGCAGTAGGAGGAAACCGGACGACCCGGAGAAAACCCACGAGGATGGACAGGCGACCCTACTCCTTGTCATGTACGGACAAAATAGACAAATAATATTCCTTAATCAATATTTGATAACCCCAGCCCGTCCCCCCTTCGGACGGCCCTGAAATATATAATGTCTATAGTTTTACCTACCATGATAAGTATTTTAAGTCTAGCTATATCTGTATATAAACAGTTTGAAGCACTCAATGTTAATCGTACATTATCAGCCAGTAAAGATGTACAATCTATTTTCTCATTACTCAAATGTACACTGTACAGTTGCTGAAAAAAATATTATTATAACTCATGTGAACAATCAACAAATAACAATTCATGTAAAACAAAGTTTCAGAAATATAATCTATAAAATATATTCAACACAAACCATAACAAAACATGTATGAGCCTACTATGGACAGACGACCCTACTCCTTGTACAAGCGGGGAATCGAAACCACGGCACTTGACTCAATGACAGATGCTTTGGGGACCATTTCCCGTAACAAAAATAAGAAAACATTTGTATTGAAATTTTATGTTTTATCCCTGTTGTCATTTAAGCATAGAATATACAGGGTGTAAATCTTTAGGAAATGAAATGAAATGAAATGGGGGTTTAACTTCCTACTGTTCCGCTCTGACTGGGCTAATGAAGATGGGAATAAGCCGACAAGTACAGATCCAACACAGAACCTTTAATATATTTCAAGCCTAATTCTTACTGAGCAGGGATGGCGGTGCTTCCAAGGAAAGTGTATCTGGTTGTTCAGATTTAACCATGTGCCCATTGGTGGGCATGTAAACAGATCCTTGACATTAGAAATTCGACGAGAGAGAGAGAGAAATGGGGTTTAACGTCCACCCGACACAAACCAGGTCATTTTGGGACTAACATATGGTTCAATTTTATTTCAATACTCTGCTTATGCGTAGGGGTCTTTAGCAGTGGGAGGAAATCGGAGGACCCTGAGAAAATCCGCGGGGTTGGACGGGCGGTCCTACTTCTCGCCACGTACAAGCAAGGAATCGAAACCACCCCACTTGACTCAATGACAGACCTTGTGATCTAACGCGTGCGTTCAACCACTAGATCACCCAATCCCCAAAATTCAACGAAGACAAGGTGGAAATGTTAACAGGCAAAATACACAGTAGTGTGCACTAAAAAGAACCCTAGTCAGAATACGAAGAACAGTATGTGGAAACTTGATGCAAACATTCGTTATAACTTACCGAGAAAAATCCAATTGATTTCTCCAATAAATCCAGCGACACTGTTTCATCCAATTGATCCTTTCTCAACATGTCAATAAAATAATCAACAGATTTCTCATGAGCTGACATCTCTGGTAATAATGTTCCTACCTTCGTAAATAATTCTACACTACAGTTATTCAAAGCACTGAAATAATCAAATAAAGATTGTTAACTATAATATACAGATTACTTATTATAGAACAAAGATTACTAATTATCAAATAATGATTACTAATTAATTATTGTATTAATGAAGATTACTAATTAATTATTGTATCAATAAAGATTACAAATAAATCGTCCAATAGAGATTGCAAATTATTTATCAGATAAAGACTACTAATTAATTAATTGTATAAATAAAGATTACTAATTAATTATCATATAAATAAAGATTACTAATTATCTTATAAAGATGGCTAATTATCAAATAACGATTACTAATTAATTATCAGATAAATAAAGATTACTAATTAATTATCATGTAAATAAAGATTACCAATTAATTATCAAATAAAGATTACCAATCCATTATCATAAAATTACCAATTAATTATCGTATAAAGATTACTAATTAATTATCGAATAAAGACTACTAATTATCGAATAAAGACTACTAATTTTCATATAAAGATTACTAATTATCAAATAAAGATGAATAAAATTAACAATTTTTTATTAATCTCTTTTTAATCTAGTTGAATCGAAATCAAGATATTATCTACGATGTTAAGTAATCAATTTGAATACACTTAGATGTGGAAAATTTGATAACCCAAACAGATCTTAATACTTAAAATCTCCATATTTAGGATGCAATACGCATAAATATTGTTATATAACAATAAAAATATTACCTCTCATACTGTTTCATGATAGCCTGTAAGGTATCCAACAATAATACTAAACGATTAGCAAAACTAATCTGTTCAGCTTTCTGACTCTTTAATACATCAGCTCTCTCTATAGTTTTCTCGGCTAGCTCAAACTTTAAAAAAAAAAAAAGAAAATTGAAATGCCATCAGTAGTTGGAAACTTGTACCTTTTATTTAATCGTCAGAATAAAGCAAAAATGTTCAAAGTTACTTTTGAAAATAAATATTTTTTATAATTTTGTGTTACTTGTGCTTGTTGTCTATGTTATATCTATTTTGTAAAGTACCACAGAGTAGTCAAACTGACTGAATGCTCAGTGCTCTAGGAAATGATAGATACAATTAACTTTTCGAACTGATTATATTTTTAGCCTGTGACTGTCTGTGAGAAACTTTATAGGAAGACATCCTAACTCATTTAGATGATCAAAGAGAATGGAATTAAGACTAGATTCTCGGAAATTCTGGTGATGCAGTGCCTTACACACTGAGCCACGGCAGCTCCCCAAATATTTATTGAGCCTACCTTAACTTTAACTTGTGATGAGAGTAATTCTGATTTATTGATTATTCTTGGTACCATCATCAATACACTGACAGCATCATGATCTCCTGGACAATATAAACAATATAATAATATATACACTGACAGCATCATGATCTCTTAGACAATATAAACAATAATAAATACAACGATAACAATTACAGCTGGTATTGGATACATGTACATTGTAATAAATAGTCAGGTACAATTTCAAAAGTGTCTGATATTTCTGTCAGGTGTAATAAAAGTTAGAGATTTCCAGCCCTGTATGTTGTATTGGATACAATTTTTTATGGTATTGAGGTAAATATCAAATTCCAAGTATAGTACTTCTTAAACAAGTGTTTGTCGTGTTGAGCAATATTAATATTACTATTCAAAAATTTTATTTTATAGTTTAGTATTGTTTTTATTTTAAATTATATTGGGGGGAGGTACCCTGATCTTTTCAGTGGGTATTAGGTCTGGTTGTATAATCTTTAATGAAGGGGGAAAGCCTGTGTTATATTTTTACAAAAATTCTGTTATGATACTCTACACCTTGGCTATACTTCGAGAGTGAATGTGAACAAATGAACCCCTCTACAACTCTGGAATCTTGTACTATACATTTATTAAGTCTACACTTGAACAACGTGGATAGGAAACAAAAGCTAAGGGTGAGAAAATTCTTACCTCCCCTGTTTAAGAAAGTATCAGGCATAAATGATAACAACATCTGTACGTGAGCATTAGCTTGTTGAACTTCTAATTTACGTAATTCCATATCAATAGTCTGAAATATAACATTACATATCAATAGTCTAATTTACGTAATTCCATATTAATAGTCTAAAATATAACATCCCATAGCAACAGTCTGAAAAATAACATTCCATGGCAATAGTCTGAAAAATGACATTTCATATCAATAATCTGAAATATAACATTCCATTTCAATAGTCTGAAATATAACATTCCATATCAATAGTCTGAAAATCCATTTCTTTAAAAAAAAGGGTAAAGGGATACCGATACTCTTTAAACATACAGGTAGGCCTACTAATACTTTCTAACCAAACAGGTACTGATACTCTTTAAACACACAGCTATTATATATTGATACACTCTAACCAAAGAGGTACCGATACTCTCTAAACAAGAGGTACTGATACTCTCTGAACAAAGAGGTAAGCTTACCGATACTCTCTAACCAAAGAGGTAAGCCAACCGATACTCTCTAATCAAACAGGTACTGATAGTCTCTAACCAAAGAGGTACAGATACCAAAGAAGTACCGGTACCGATACTCCATAACTCTAAAACAAATAACACCTATTATTTACTAAATTTCTAGATAGATAAGGCCATATAAAAAAAATGAATATCAATTAAAGTGATAAAATTATGATAAAATCATCCATACCTTAGCATAAGCCTTTGTTTCTGCGAACCTGGCCTTGAAATCAAACTCGATGGTAGGAGTCTCGACTGATTTCTGTTCTGATTCTTGTTGTTTACTTCGTAACTCTTTATTTGTATCCTAAAATACAGGTAAACCATTCTAAGTTAGCAATAGTTTTCAATAGAGTTAAATGAAATGGAATGAAATAGGGTTTAACGTCCTACTGTTCGGCTCTGACTGTAAAATACAGGTAAACTGTTCTAACTTAGCAATAGCTTTCAATACAGTTAAATGAAATGGAATGAAAAAGGGTTCTGCTACGACAGTAAAATACAGTTATATCATTCTAAATTAGCAATAGCTTTCAATAAAAATAAACACAATATTCATTATAATGCTTCAAATAACTGATTCCGAAAACTAAAATCACACAACAAAACATGATGTACGAGCGTACTATGGACTATGAATTTTGAAGGTTATATCACAACTCATAGGCCGTTAAAAGTCCAAGAAACAATCAGGTCACGTTTCATGTCGATCGTAATGGAATTGGCGGAGCATTGGGCATTTTTCAAAAAGAGAGACATGGAGTTTAATGGTCACTTGTCACAAACTAAAATATGGTTCAATTTTATTTCTATAATTCGTTTGCGCGTAGGGGTCTTTAGCAGTGGGAGGAAACCGGAGGACCCGGAGAAAACCCACAAGGATAGGCAGGTGACCATACTCCTTGTCACATACGATTCTGAAAACTAATAGGTTTTGATTTATACAGTAAGATCCTAAAAACTCTGCCGGCTTGTAGAGTGATTATAAAACCAAAAAAAAAATACGAAGACCTTTATAATGATTGAAAGATGGATAGACTGAGTGACGGAAGGACGATGACAATATATGAATACATGAACATCATATAAAAGTAGTACCTGAAGCTGTTTGACAAGTTCTCGGAATTTAGTGATGGTTTTTTCATAATCAGCGCAGGTTTCAGCTCCAGCTTCAAGTTTACGATAAGCCTGAAAAAATAAAAGTTTATAAAAAGTTATCACATAGTAAACCATTAGACATCTGCACCATTATGGGAGAGAGAGAGAGAGAGAGAGAGATGAAGTTTAATGGCCACTCAATTACTCGACACAAACTATTTTATTTCGGGAGTAACATATGGTTCTACTTCATATCAAACCACGGCACTTGACTCAATGACAGACCTTCTGATCTAACGTGCATGTGTTAAACCACTTGCCACCCATTCCTACGCACTACTTACTACTTATTCACTGAGCCACGGTGGTTCCCTCTCTCGACTAGAATGTGTCCACAAACTAGTTCATTTCAGGACGAATATATGGTTCAATCTTATTTCAACAATTCGCTTGGGCGTAAGGTTTCTTTAGCAGTGGGAGGAAACCGGAGACCCGGAGAAAACCCACGAGATTGGACAGGTGACCCTACTCCTTGTCACGTACAACCGGGGAATCGAAACTACGCCAGTTGACTCAATGACAGACTTTATGATACAGCGCACACGTGCTAACCATTCAGCCATCCAACCCCCCGGTCTACATATTAAATTAAATGCTTGTAAATTGAACACTCATTATTAAAATTGAATTGTCAGCTTTAAACTGGACACAAAAACAAATTAGATGAATTTTGGTGATTTTAAATGATTTTTACGAATTTTTAAACAAAGATTTGATATTAAATGTGAAAGAAATTAGTGTTAAATACACAAGATTAAATAATACCCAGATTACAGTGAAATAAGTTTAAATCTAAACATTAGGACACTTGATATATTACTTCTGAAATTTATTCACGTTATGTTTCAATCTAAAAGGTTTGAAAGTTGCAACTGGTACTGTTCTGGAAAAATTGCATGCGTGACCATAAACAGAAATAACCAAGTGTTAGTCTTATAATGACTGAAATATTAGAAAATTATAAAAATAGTTTTGAATCTTACATCAGCAACACGTGATTGAGCTAAATCTAACTCCTCTCGTAATTCTAGTTCCATCTCTCGGGCATTTTCTTGAATTTCTTCGTTCATCTCATGAAGAACCTCTAAGTCAGCGTTTTCTTCTCTCAATTTAGCAATCTCATCCTCTAGTGCCAGATTCTTCTCAGCTAACGATTCCACCATTTCCTCAGCTCCAAGAGCAGCATCAACCTATTGATTAAAACAAAATTAAGAGAAATGTTCTTATTAGAAATACGTGGATTATTTCGATCAAAACACAGAGTCTAAATCTGACTGGTACTTAGTCTAAACATCACTTGTACACCATTAATAAATATTTCTTTTGACCTTTAAGTCCACTCAAGTTTAAGTCCACTCGACACAAACTAGGTCATTTCGGGACTAACACATGGTTCAATTTTATTTCAATAATTCGGTTGCGCGTAGAGGTCTTTAGCTTTTGAGTTTCGTCAAGCAACTAAAGCAACGTACAATTGCCGTTTTGTATCAAAAAAATTCTTTTATGAGTGTAGATTTGGACTTAAGAATTTTTATTTACATTCAGACATTTAATGTCAGATGTCGAGAGAAAGACAATATATTGGTCAAATTTCTAACCTGTTCCTTGAGTTCTATCATCTGTTCGTGTAATTCTGATACTTCTGTTTGCAACTTTTCTTTATCTTTCTGATAATTATTGATTTCATTCTTCATCTTCTCATTTTGTTTTGTTAAATTCTGACATTCTGTCTTTTCTTGATTGGATAAATCACGCATCCTGGAAAATAAATGCATAAAATCATATTAATTTTGTCAAATTTATCATCTTCACAGGAAATTTACTATCCAAGACTCAAAGCCAAAATTTTGGCATTAGAATCAGGGTGGTCGTCAGAATGAAAAAAATGAGACTAGTTTCCTGGAATTTTGAAATAAATTAAAATAAATTTTTACGAGAGAGAGAGAGAGAAATGGGGTTGAACGTCCACTCGACACAAACTAGGTCATTTTGGGACTAACATGTGGTTCAATTTTATTTAAATAATTCTCTTGCACATAGGGGTCTTTAGCAGTGGGAGGAAATCGGTGGAAACAGGAGGACCCAGAGAAAACCCACGAGGTTGGACAGACGACCCTACTCGTTGTCACATACAACCGGGGAATCGAAACCAGGCCACTTCAGCTACCCAACCCCCTAAATTTTTATGAAGTTAGCTCAATTCATCAGTAAAATACATAGTAGGACGAGCCTTATGATATTTGTTTAATACAAGCAATGGGTTACTTACGATTAAACCTAAAATTTGCAGAGAAATTTCTAGCCTTATCTGTTATAAATCATTACTCTTTTCCTTTCATATGAGAAAGCAACAATTATAGGGACAGTTTCAAAATAACACAAATAATTACGATAAAATCAATAGACAGTACAATTTCACTGTATGTTTAGGAGATTCTTCACTTTCCTGGTTGAGCTTTTAGCATAAATAAGTAATTGTTAGTTGATTAAAAAAATATCAACACAACAAGTCTTTTATTCAATTTAAAAGGACACTGAATAATTAACTCCAAATTTTACTTACTTGACTAATGCTTCTTTTAATCTGTCATTTTGTTGTTCAAGTTGTTTTTGTTCATAGGTAGCAGCAACTCCCTCTTTACCTTAAAAATATAGGGAATCAAGTCGTTAAAAGTTGGTGTTCCGGATCAGACATTTTTCTAACAATACCTTATTTTCACAGCTTTTTCCATAATGATATAAACTTAAATTGATTAGTTAACATTTAACACCACAAAACCGAGAGAAATGAAATGAAATGAAATGGGGTTTAACATCCTACTGTTCTGCTCCTATATACTGGGCTAATGAAGACAGGCATATGCCATTTAAAGGAGCTAAATCGCTAATATTTGGGACCTAGAAATTGACCCAAATGGGTCGCAACGCATATAATAATGTAATCTGATTGTATATAAACTGATTTACATTCAATTGTTTCCGTTTTGGCACTAATTTCAAATCAGTTATGTCCAGCGAAATATGGCACGAGTCTCAACCTAATAGCAATTTCTAGCGTCTGGTTATTCCAATCTATTATGCATGCTCTCCAGATAAGATATGGCGTCACCGTTTGTCCAGCCTCGTTCTTTCTGGTCACTTGTTACAAATGACGCTGAAATGCACTATGGTACACAATTAATGTACCAATAGTAAAATGTTTATTTTGTCTTATATATTGGATATCAGAAGCCTACCCTTCCTGGTAAGATCACAACATCAATGTTGATTCGAATTAACAAATAATTTGTCTTGTCACCGTGTACGACTTTGGATGATATTAAGTTAGAGACTTAGCTACTTTAAATTTCATTTCTCTACTTACCTTGATCTGTAATTTCTCCACGTAAAATTTCTAAATCTAATGTCACTTCTTCCAATTTCTCTTTTACTGTCTCCAATTCTTGTACCAGACCTTCGGCTTTCTCCTCGGCCATTTCTTTATCTAGAGTAGCAATCTCTATAGTTTCTGACGTATCAGCCATCTCCTCTTTATATCTCTCAAAAGCATCCTGAGTATCTTTAAGATCCTATACATGGAAATAATTAACATATTTTGTGACATTATGAATATTAATTGTCATGAATATTAATGAGCCTCGGGGCACGCCCCCGTCCATGATCTTTTGAGAGAGGCAGTCTGTGACTGTCAATAAAGTGAACATGGTTTTATCATGAAATGGTGTTGTCTAAATGTGGCTCCACTCTGAACCAAGATATTAGCTATTGAATTTTAGGCCTAGCCTCGATCATCATTACTAAAGTCCATACGATAAAAAAACATAGTCTCGATTATCCATTCTTGGATTTAGTCATCAATGACAGTTGAGCAGCAGATTGGATTCAAATCAAGTGAAAATCCGACACATGGCATTGAGAGTTGATTACAGTCTCTTCATGTTAATAAATGTCTAATTAATAATGTAGATAACATTTCAGGTCTAAAGAAAGAACTGAAATAGGCAGATTTAGCTCTTGCATGGTTAATTAACATATTTTAAATAATCAAGATTGTTTGAAATCTTATACCTTTTTAGCAGATTGTAATTGTGTTTGTAAATCCCCGTGAGTTTCCTGCATCTTATGTTTATAAAATCAAGTGTTAAACAACTAGACTGATGGGCGAATTGATACAATAAAATCTTATCTTATACCTTTTTAGCAGATTGTAATTGTCTTTGTAAATCCCCGTGAGTTTCCTGCATCTTATGTTTATAAAATCAAGTGTTAAACCACTAGACTGATAGGCGAATTGATACAATAAAATCTTATCTTATACCTTTTTAGCAGATTGTAGTTGTCTCTGTAGATCTCCGTGAGTTTCCTGCATCTTATGTTTATATTCCTGTAATTGTTGAAGCTGAATCCTCAGTTTATCTGCTTCCTTCAACTTGGCTCGATCTTCTCCACGTTTTATTTTCAACGTTTCTAACTTTTCATTTAAATCCTTTATTTCAGCTTTTAGTCCTTCAATCTCTTGTGTTTGTTGTAGATTGGTTAGCGGATCATCGTCCGATTTCTCCAGCGTCTTAATATCAGTCGGGATAGCAGGCTGAAAGAAAGTGGGCAATTAAAATTTGACAAAATCACAAAATTCAACAACACCAAAACAGTAAGGGGGTGCTCGATCGTCTGTCCGGAACGTCCTGAATTGACAGAATTGCAATCAAGTGATACAGAATTCAGTCCTGTCACAATTCTGCCAGTCCCAACAGCCGAGGTGGTGTGAGTAGAATCGTGACATATTTTAAGTAACAAATATTTTTTAGCTGCCATGATTAGTTGGGATATTTTTAATGCAGTCAGCACATGCGTTGTACTCCGAAATCCTCCTTTTCACTCGATTGACACTATTTTCGGAATTGAGAGAATTTAATTCCGGAACATTCAATCGAGTATCCCCATAGATACTTTAAAAATATTAGTGGATAGATTCAAAATATTTTATATCACAAGGAAAAACCAATGATAATTCTGGCATTCTTTAAATGATGTTAGTCTTCTCCAGATGCCATGAGAGAGATTGAAATGGTGTTTAATATTAACCTGACAAAAACAGATATTACAGATGGTATGAGAGAAAGCTATTGTTTTAACCTGTGGTGGTGAGATTAATGGTACATGTATGACAGAAAGCTACCGTTTTTACCTGTGGTGGTGAGACCGATGGTATGAGAGAAAGCTACCGTTTTTACCTGTGGTGGTGATACTGATGGTATGAGAGAAAGAGACTGTTTTTACCTGTGTTGGTGAGACTGATGGTATGAGAGAAAGAGACTGTTTTTACCTTTGGTGGTGATACCGATGGTATGAGAGAAAGAGACTTTTTTTACCTGTGTTGGGGAGACCGATGGTATGAGAGAAAGAGACTGTTTTTACCTGTGGTGGTGAGACTGATGGTATGAGAGAAAGCTATTGTTTTTACCTGTGGTGGTGATACCGATGGTATGAGTGAAATGTATTGTTTTTACCTGTAGTGGTGATACCGATGGTATGAGGGAAAGCTATTGTTTTTAACTGTGGTGGTGAGACCGATGGTATGAGGGAAAGCTATTGTTTTTAACTGTGGTGGTGAGACCGATGGTATGAGACAAAGCTACCGTTTTTACCTGTGGTGGTGAGACTGATGGTATGAGAGAAAGAAATGTTTTTACTTGTGGTGGTGAGACCCATGGTATAACAGAAAGAGACTGTTTTTACCTGTGGTGGTGAGACCGATGGTATGAGAGAAAGAGACTATTTTTACCTGTGGTGGTGATACCGATGATATAAGAGAATGAGACTGTTTTTACCTGTGGTGGTGAAACCGATGGTATGAGAGAAAGCTACTGTTTTTACCTGTGGTGGTGATTCTGCTGTTTTAGTCTCAGCAGGTGCTTCAACAATCTGTTCGGGTGCTTGAGTAGGAGGAGCTGTTTTAGGCGCTGTTGTCTTAGATGGTGTAGGCTTAGGAATAGCAGGCGGCTGTGGCTCAGGAGTAGAATCTTTACTACAGCTCTTGGATTTTGGAATACCTGATTCTTTAGGTGTTTGGTTTGGATCTGGACTAGATCTGGTTTTTACCTGTGGTGGTGGAACCGATGGTATGACATAAAGCTATCGTTTTTACCTATGGTGGTGAGACCGATGGTATGAGAGAAAGAAACTGTTTTTACCTGTGGTGGTGAAACCGATGGTATGAGAGAAAGCTACCGTTTTTACCTGTGGTGGTGAGACTGATGGTATGAGAGAAAGAGACTGTTTTTACCTGTGGTGGTGATACCGATGATATAAGAGAATGAGACTGTTTTTACCTGTGGTGGTGACACCGATGGTATGAGAGAAAGCTACTGTTATTATCTGTGGTGGCTAGACCAATGGTATGAGAGAAAGCTACTGTTTTTACCTGTGGTGGTGATTCTGCTGTTTTAGCCTCAGCAGGAGCTTCAACAATCTGTTCTGGTGCTTTAATAGTGGGAGCTGTTTTAGCTGCTGTTTTCTTAGATGGTGTAAGCTTAGGAATAGCAGGAGGCTGTGGCTCAGGAGTAGAATCTTTACTACGGATCTTGGATTTTGGAATACCTGATTCTGGACTAGATCTGGTTTTTACCTGTGGTGGAACCGATGGTATGACATAAAGCTACCGTTTTTACCTGTGGTAGTGAGACCGATGGTATGAGAGAAAGACTCTGTTTTTACCTGTGGTGGTGAAACCGATGGTATGAGAGAACGAGACTGTTTTTACCTGTGGTGGTGATACCGATGGTGTGAGAGAAAGATACTGTTTTTACCTGTGGTGGTGAGACTGATGGTATGAGAAAAAGAGACTGTTTTTACCTGTGGTGGTGAGACCGATGGTATGAGTGAAATGTATTGTTTTTACCTGTAGTGGTGATACCGATGGTATGAGGGATAGCTATTGTTTTTAACTGTGGTGGTGAGACCGATGGTATGAGGGAAAGCTATTGTTTTTAACTGTGGTGGTGAGACCGATGGTATGAGACAAAGCTACCGTTTTTACCTGTGGTGGTGAGACTGATGGTATGAGAGAAAGAAATGTTTTTGCTTGTGGTGGTGGGACCCATGGTATAACAGAAAGAGACTGTTTTTACCTGTGGTGGTGAAACCGATGGTATGAGAGACTATTTTTACCTGTAGTGGTGAGACCGATGGTATGAGAGAAAGAGACTGTTTTTACCTGTGGTGGTGAAACCGATGGTATGAGAGAAAGCTATTGTTTTTACCTATGGTGGTGAGACCGATGGTATGAGAGAAAGAGACTGTTTTTACCTGTGGTGGTGATACCGATGGTATGAGAGAAAGCTATTGTTTTTACCTGTGGTAGTGAGACCGATGGTATGAGAGAAAGACTCTGTTTTTACCTGTGGTGGTGAGACCGATGGTATGAGAGAAAGACTCTGTTTTTACCTGTATAACAGAAAGAGACTGTTTTTACCTGTGGTGGTGAGACCGATGGTATGAGACAAAGCTACCGTTTTTACCTGTGGTGGTGAGACTGATGGTATGAGAGAAAGAAATGTTTTTACTTGTGGTGGTGAGACCCATGGTATAACAGAAAGAGACTGTTTTTACCTGTGGTGGTGATACCGATGGTATGAGAGAAAGAGACTATTTTTACCTGTGGTGGTGATACCGATGATATAAGAGAATGAGACTGTTTTTACCTGTGGTGGTGAAACCGATGGTATGAGAGAAAGCTACTGTTTTTATCTGTGGTGGCTAGACCAATGGTATGAGAGAAAGAGACTGTGGTGGTGAGACCGATGGTATAACAGAAAGGGACTGTTTTTACCTGTGGTGGTGATTCTGCTGTTTTAGCCTCAGCAGGTGCTTCAACAATCTGTTCGGGTACTTGAGTAGGAGGAGCTGTTTTAGGCGCTGTTGTCTTAGATGGTGTAGGCTTAGGAATAGCAGGCGGCTGTGGCTCAGGAGTAGAATCTTTACTACGGCTCTTGGATTTTGGAATACCTGATTCTTTAGGTGTTTGGTTTGGATCTGGACTAGATCTGGTTTTTACCTGTGGTGGTGGAACCGATGGTATGACATAAAGCTATCGTTTTTACCTATGGTGGTGAGACCGATGATATAAGAGAATGAGACTGTTTTTACCTGTGGTGGTGAAACCGATGGTATGAGAGAAAGCTACAGTTTTTACCTGTGGTGGTGATTCTGCTGTTTTAGCCTCAGCAGGTGCTTCAACAATCTGTTCGGGTACTTGAGTAGGAGGAGCTGTTTTAGCCGCTGTTGTCTTAGATGTTGTAGGCTTAGGAATAGCAGGCGGCTGTGGCTCAGGAGTAGAATCTTTACTACGGCTCTTGGATTTTGGAATACCTGATTCTTTAGGTGTTTGGTTTGGATCTGGACTAGATCTGGTTTTTACCTGTGGTGGTGGAACCGATGGTATGACATAAAGCTATCGTTTTTACCTATGGTGGTGAGACCGATGGTATGAGAGAAAGAGACTGTTTTTACCTGTGGTGGTGAAACCGATGGTATGAGAGAAAGCTACCGTTTTTACCTGTGGTGGTGAGACTGATGGTATGAGAGAAAGAGACTGTTTTTACCTGTGGTGGTGATACCGATGATATAAGAGAATGAGACTGTTTTTACCTGTGGTGGTGAAACCGATGGTATGAGAGAAAGCTACTTTTTTTATCTGTGGTGGCTAGACCAATGGTATGAGAGAAAGAGACTGTGGTGGTGAGACCGATGGTATAACAGAAAGGGACTGTTTTTACCTGTGGTGGTGAAACCTATGGTATGAGAGAACGAGACTGTTTTTACCTGTGGTGGTGATACTAATGGTATGAGAGAATGAGACTGTTTTTACCTATGGTGGTGAGACCGATGGTATGAGAGAAAGCTATTGTTTTTACCTATGGTGGTGATACCGATGGTATGAGAGAAAGAGACAGTTTTTACCTGTGGTGGTGATACCGATGGTATGAGAGAAAGCTATTGTTTTTACCTGTGGTAGTGAGACCGATGGTATGAGAGAAAGACTCTGTTTTTACCTGTGGTGGTGAGACCGATGGTATGAGAGAAAGAGACTGTGGTGGTGAGACCGATGGTATGAGAGAAAGAGACTATTTTTACCTGTAGTGATGATACCTATGGTACGAGAGATAGAGACTGTTTGTACTTGTAGTGGTGATACCGATGGTATGAGAGAAAGAGACTGTTTGTACCTGTGGTGGTGAGACCGATGGTATGAGAGAAAGAGACTGTTTGTACCTGTGGTGGTGAGACCGATGGTATGAGAGAAAGAGACTGTTTGTACCTGTGGTGGTGAGACCGATGGTATGAGAGAAAGAGACTGTTTGTACCTGTGGTGGTGATACCGATGGTATGAGAGAAAGAGACTGTTTTTACCTGTGGTGGTGAGACCGATGGTATGAGAGAAAGAGACTGTGGTGGTGAGACCGATGGTATGAGAGAAAGAAACTGTTTTTACCTGTGGTGGTGATACCGATGGTATGAGAAAAAGCTATTGTTTTTACCTGTAGTGGTGATACTGATGGCATAAAAGAAAGCTACTGTTTTTACCTGTGGTGGTGATACAGCTGTTTTAGGTGATACAGCTGTTTTAGGCTCAGCAGGTGCTTTAACAATCTGTTCTGGTGCTTTAATAGTAGGAGCTGGTTTTGCCGCTGTTGTCTTAGATGGTGTAGGCTTAGGAATAGCAGGAGGCTGTGGCTCAGGAGTAGAATCTTTACTAGGGATCTTGGATTTTGGAATGCCTGATTCTTTAAGCGTTTGGTTTGGATCTGGACTAGATCTGGCTTTAGCAGGTGTTTTAGCTGCAGCATCAGCTAGATTCTCATTACCTGTAAAATAACCCAAAATATTAGCTCAATGTTCTTACAAGTCTTCAAATATCAGTAATTTATTCTTAGTATGAAGTAACTCAAATTATTAGCCTGATAGTTACTACCAGTTTTCATATATTCTAAGCATTAAAGATGCATTATGTAAGATTTAGATAACGAGCTGGTCAATTGTGCTATAATAGTTCAAAAATAGATAAAGAAAAATTGAGTACCGGTACATAGAAAATTTCAGTCAAATTACTATAAGTTATAAGTGTTTGAAGTTTTGACAAGATAGTCTTGATTATACCATTGTTACAATAATAAACCGGAGGACCCTACTCCTGAGGCCATGCGGTAACCAATTGGCCACCCAAAACCCCTCTTACATAATGCATCTTTAAATAAACAACTGAGGCCATAACACCGTGTCAGTGGTGCAGGACGGAGGGCCTGACAAGGACAGCTGTCTAGTCCTTCGGATGAGATGAAAAACCGAGGTCCCGTGTATATATTGGAATGCACGTAAAAGATCCCATGGCAGTTGGAATTCGATATAAGAGTAGGCGATAGTGCCGCTGCCCGGGCAAAATTTCCCTCATAGCACACTGTATGGCGTATACCCGTCTTCATTAGCCCAGTATACGAGCAGAACAGTAGTACGTTAAACACCATTTCATTTCATTTAATTCCACACTAGATAAATATCTTATTTGAGCGGCATATAGCGAAGTGAAATGAAATGAAATGGGGTTTAACAGCCTACTGTTCTGCTCTGACTGGGCTAATGAAAATGTGCATATGCCATACAGTGTGCTATGAGGGGAATTTTGCCCGGGCAGCGGCACTCTGGCCTACTCTTATATCGAATTCCAATTGCCAAGGGATCTTTTACGTGCACGCCAATGTATACACAGGACCTTGGTTGTTTCGTCCCATCCGAATGACTAAACAGCTGTCCTTGTCAGGCCCTGCACCCCTGACAAGCGGAAACCATGTCGGAAAATTCCTATGAACTTTCTCATAGGCTAGCGAGCCAGCGACTTTTCCACTTAGCAACAGCGGCACTTAGCAATTGATACACATAATAAACACAAAAACATAATATGGAACACAATTACTGTTCTGATTAAAGCTATGTATCAATGTTTTCAAGCAGATGATGATGAATATATTATACAGAAGGTTTATAAACAAAAATATGTAACAACTAATTAACCGATAATCAATAAGGAAACCATTTAAATTAGGCGTGATGTTCTCATCGCAACACCGTAACAGAAAAGTCGGGTAGGTCCAGTTTATGTTTGTGTATTTATAAATAGATAGTTTCTTACTTTTTCCTACTAAACTTGGGGGTCTGATAAGAGATCTTCTCTTCTCACTTTTGTCTGGTGCTGGTACCTTTGATGCTGGTGTTGATGCTGGAGAAGGAGCAGCAGCTTTAGCAGGAGTAGGAGGTGCTGGTCCATTCCCACCATCAAGGGCAGTGATCTATAAGGTAAACAAAGAATTGAGCCACTGAAGTTAAAACATACATTATGCAAGAGCTAAATCTGCCTATTGTAGGTCTTTCTTTAGGCCTGAAATGTTATATAAACTATTAATTAGACATTAATTAACGTATCCAGACCATAATCAACTCTCGATGTCAAAGCTAGCCTGCGATATTTGTTGGATTATGATCTGATTTGCTGCATAACTTTCCTTCTCGATATAACGATTAAATGGATAATCGAGACTATGATTTTTGTCATACCGACTTTAGTAATGATGACCGAGGCTATGTGGAACTTTTGATCGCTTATTTCTCGGTTCATAGTGGATCAATTTGACTGAAATTTTCAGCAAATTGCCTTTACATTATCTAGTTTTTAACTATTATAGTGAGAACTGCCAACTCGTTATCTAATCTCCCATAATGTATCTTTAAAGTCACTGAACCAGATCTTGCATTTTTACAGACAATAGCTAACTCTTTTTCATGTTTAATCCACCATAAATTGTACGCAAATTGATCAAGAAAACAAAACCAGAATATCAATGGTAGGTAATTTTTAATCTCCTGCTCAGATTCAGTCGAAATAATTGGACGAGAAAGACATCTATCAAAATATATATATAGACACAAACTAGGTCATTTCAAGACTAACATATGGTTCAGCTTTTTATTTAACAGTGGGAGGAAACCGGAAGATCCAGAGAAAACCATTAGATTGGACGGATCTTATGATTGAAACGTGCACATATTAGCCATTAATCTGTCATATTTACAAGGTGACCCTACTCCTTGTCACGTGTACAACCGGGAAATCGAAATCACGCCAGTTGACTCAATGACAGACATTATGATACAACGCACATGCGCTTACCATTCGGCCATCCAACCCCCCTATTTTAGTTCAAAATGTAAGTAAAACTAATGAATAAGTCTACCTGTGATTGTCGGACAAAGATTCCATGATTATCAGGACAGGTAAAATATGTCTTTCCTTGAACAGTTCCATTATTTTTACCTTTAGGTACGTCTAATACAACACCAATCCATTTTCCTGTTTATAAACAAAATCATTTAATGGTTCAAAATTTAATTCTTGGCACTTCAATAGGACTCCATTAAAAGTAATAGTAAAGCATTGCTATATGTATTTAAATATTAACGTGTAGCAATAATGAATTATCCCAGACACAAAATCATGATTAAATTCTAAACTTTTGCTGCAAGACTTGCAGACCTATAAGCTTAATTCTTGTACGCTGGCTTTAAATGTTAACATATGAAAGATCGTACTTTTCTGCAGCAAGATAAATTTTTATACAGATGATAGCGATTCTGCCCACTCTAAATTGGTCTGGTATACATTTGGAACTTTTTGTTCTGTCCCAAAATAAAGCAATTACATGTAGATGCTTTTTGTTGCCAGGCCTTCAATCTTGTACCACTGACAAGTGAATGAAATGGGGTTTAACATCCTACTGTTCTATGCCAGTCAGGCTGATGAAGGCAGCCACAGACAAACTGGAAAGTCCCGAGGAACTTCTCTCATTCAACACCAAGTTCAATCTCAGGACCGACGGGACGGGTAGTGAGCAAACATCCTACTCACTGAGCCACATTTGCTTGTAAAAATCTTCTAAAATTGTCAAAAATCATCTAAATTTGTTTCTAGTTTAAAGCTGATCGTTCAATTTTGATAATGAACATCCATTTAGAAGCTAAAATTAGATGATTTTTGATGCTGTTCAGATGATTTTTACAAATTTTTCAAACAAAGATTTGATATTGAATGAATGTGAAAGAAATTAATGTTGAACACTCAAGATTAATTGATACCTGTGTTACAGTGTAAGCTACAAACATATTTACCTGATGAGAAAAGGGTTTGACCGATGTAAGCAACTGTTCCAACAATTCCCTTTCCTGTCACTTCAACTTTTGAACCAATTTTCATTGGCTTTGCTTCAGCCATCTTCAAAGTTCTCGATTTTGATCAGAACAAAAATCTATTAAAATAAAGAACAAATAATTCATTTAATTTGTGAAATGAAATGAAATGAAATGGGGTTTAATATCCTAATTTTCTGCACTGACTGGGCTATGGTAATTATGAAGTCGGGCATATTATTAGCCTACTCTTGCATGTATATCAAATTGCAACTGTCAATGGTTCTTTTACGTGCACGCCAATGTGTACCCTGGACCTGTTCGGTTTTTCGTCCCATTTGAATGGCTAGACAGCTGTCGTGCTTGCAAAAAAGTCTGAGCCTGTGGTGCCACTCCCAGACTTGAGATCATATCTTGCAACAGTCTCCACTAGTCCATGAATAGAAAGCATGGACTATCACTATACCCATTATTCTCAAACGGCAGTATTTTCAACATAATTATTAATATAATACATAAATGAATGTTTATACTGCTGTGGTCCCCAGAAGAGACATTCACGGAATCATTCACTCAGTCATACTATTGATCGTTCCACGGGTCAGTTACTACAAAAATTATGTTTATAGTAATTTCTCGATACCAAAATCATATTCTTCTAAATATACTCAAAACATCTTCCGATAAAAAACGAAATACATCTTGCAAAAATTACCTTTAAATATGGAAATCAAATTTCCAAATCTTATAGACTTTTTTTTAATTTTAGTCTTCCATTTTCTATGACATTTACTTCCGGTGTGCTTATACCATTAACAATTACGAATTCATTCTTTAAACAAGACTGTTTTTCGAAGCAGGCGACAGTTCTTTTAAACTTATTATATTCTGGAATTACCTGTCTTACATTTTGTAGATTAGCGCATTTTTGATTCGATAAATCGTAAATTTTGTTGCAGTAATTGATATGAGCGACATACCAATTCCAATATGGCGTCAAATCCGACAGGTTGTTGAAACTTTTCACATAAAATCAATAATTTGATGATTTACGTGCCTCTTTCCCCTAAATATTCCTTAACTGGGTTGTAAAGAATGTGCCTTCATTTAGATATATGAATATGTTTTGCTTATTTGTTCCCAGCTCAGTAATTTCCAGCTAACAATTTTCAATGTTGACACTGACAGTTTTTTGCTCAACACCACACAACACCCCATTCTGTCATTCATCTGTTAGGCCTAGATAGCGGGTGGGTGGAGGAAATTCAATTGAGCCTTCCTATCATTTCATAAATAGACTTTTCGCAAGATCGTAAGTACGTCTTTATGAATATAAATAATTGCCCTACTTTGAGTTTGGTTTGTTGCAGTTTAATTTCTCACTGACATAATTTCAACTCTTACTTTAGGAATATATTATAATTATATTGTCTTTACACAAAATTCAAGAGTGCAAACTGAATAGCTGACGTAAGTTTTAAAAATATTTTTTGACTAAATGACATGCATAGCAGTCTTTGGAAAAAATATCCCTCAACAAACTAACCAATTGGGTAATAAGCTGATTTTTAGTTTAAATTAATGTTATGATTTTAAGTTAAAAGACAAAACTTAAGTAAAATAGACACTCAAAGGATTCTCCTGTCAGGAAACAAACCCAAGACCCCAGGCATGAAAAGATAAAACTTAAGTAAAATAGACAGGCATGGTGAGCCAAAGGGAATTATGGTACCCACGACTAAGTCATTATAGGAAGTATGTTTAGACTTTAGACCCCACAGGACAGAACAATTTATGCATCCCTAAAATACAAACAGTCACACAGCACACCACATATTTAAATGCCTACTATATTTGCATATCAAGTATTGCTGATGCTGTTAAGATTTATCCATAATTCTAAACCATAGGCTAATGAAGTTGATGAACATTAAAGATTATCACTCGGCAAACCTCATCAGATTCCAGTACTCTACATCTAGCCTCGGCTGTATGGCGAAGTACGCCATTGAAACTACTTTCAAGTTCCCGGATTACCAACAGCGTTGCCCTTGACTACGCCTTTGAAGAATGTTTTATCATACAAAGATTTCAAAGTCTGAAGTTCATTCGATTTTCTTTAGACAATGACAAGTTTGCACTGAAAATTCTACACACTCTTCGAACAACGCAATTGTGAGAACTTATTTCTAAAAGCGACAACCGGTACCGCATCACAATTGTTTAGGCATAGGTACATATCACTTACCGTCATACAGCTGAGGCTAGATGTATGGTACTGGAATCTGCCTAGGTTTGCCGAGTGTAAAGATTATTACACTACAACCTGGTTATCATGTATTTGTGCTGTTTTAGCAGGAGTTTCTGTATATAATGTTTATTCTCTAACATTGGGTTTCTACTGTTGAGTACTGTCTATCTAGATTAGATAACGAGTGTTAGGTTTACAACTGTTTACTTTTACTAGCAGTGTTGAGTAATTAACAGACTAATTACCCATAAGTTGTAGTGTTACTATTAATAGATTATTTTATTTGGGTACGGTAATATAAATTATTTCTCTCCATTTTATTTGACATTCCTGTCATTTTTTTCAGATGAAAATGATCTAGAAGGAAGACGGAAAAAACATGAAATTCTCAAAATGTATTATGGAGTGGAGGGTGATAAACCTGGAGCTTCGACTGTTGATCCGTGTGATATCAATGGAGCCCATTTTAAACCTGAAATATACCTGAGTAAACTCATACATGAGAAACCACTGACAGAATTAATGGATAAAGAAAATGATATGGTTCGTCAGATTAAAGCTCTCGATAGTGACATGCAGACATTGGTTTATGAGAATTATAACAAATTTATCAGTGCAACGGATACAATACGAAAGGTGAGTTGCGGTTCTCAGATAGGCCTAACACTTAATTAAAAATAAAAGCTTGGTTATATTATAAAGACTAAGAAGTAAAAATGTCCTGATTAATTACTGGAAATTCATAGTTGTTTTGGGGTAGTAAGTCCGGGGGTTGATCTCAGTGTTTATCAAGAAAATTCCCCAGGATTTTTCGATATGGTTTCCTCGTCAGTGGTGCAGGACATAGGTCAGGGGATGGACAGTTTCTAGTCTGTTGGATGATATTAAAAACTGAGATCCTGTCATTGGTGTGCATGTAAAAGAACTCTTGACAGTTGGAATTCGATATAAGAGTAGGCTGTAGTGCCTCTGTCCAGGCAAAATTTCCTCATAGCACACTGTATGGCGTATGCCTGTCTTCATTAGCCCAGTTTGGAGCAGAACATTAGAGCGTTATACCCCATTTCATTTCAAATACCTTGTCTGTGGTGCATGGCAAGGAGTAGGGTCGCCTGTCCAACCTTGTTGGTTTTCTCCAGGTCCTCCGGTTTCCTCCCACTGTTAAAGCCCCCTATGCGCAAGCGAATCATTGAAATAAAATTGAACTATGTGTTAGTCCAAAATGACCTAGTTTGTGTCGAGTGGACGTTAAACCCCATTTCTCTCTCAATATATAAGATCCTGTGTATAGTACTCATAAAAAAAGAATAGCCACTGTCAAGACACAATTCTATGCATATTGGCACAGACAAATAATATTTAAGACCAATTTAATTTGATTCATAGTGGGTTTCTTTTATATCTATTTTCTGTTATTAGATGAAGAATGATTTTAAGAAAATGGAAGATGAAATGGACCATTTAGCAACTAATATGGCTGCTATTACAGAATTTAGTGGTAATATTAGCAGTACTTTACAAGATAGAAGACAACAAATAACTAAATTAGCTGGTGTACATTCATTGTTAAAAAAGGTATAAAATATATTCCTTTTAATCTATCTACAAATATATACCCTGTTAACCTAATACCACTGACTAAATGAACATAGGAATGACATCATTAAAGAGATCATGATTCCGGTCAACTTGTCTCCGGACAATTCATCCCCGGACAGTTCATCCCTAGAAATATTTATCCTCTAAGCCTTATTTCTAATTCTGATGATGTTTTTCAGCTCCAATTTCTGTTTGAGTTACCATCGCGGTTAAAAAAATGTCTGGATATGAAAGCCTATAGCCAAGCTGTCAGGTATGATTTTATTAATCCTTTATTTAGTGCCGGTAAATATTGATTTTTTTACATTAAATTACTAAACAAGGAGTAGGGTCGCCTGTCCAGACTCGTGGGTTTTCTCCGGGTCCCCCGCTTTCCTCCCACTGCTAAAAACCCCTACATGTACATGCAAGCGAATTATTGAAATAAAAATAAACCATATGTTCTCTCTCTCTTTCTCTCTCTCTCTCTCTCACACACACATCTTTATGTATGTTTTTACTTTCAATCAATAGGCTCTCGTTTGGTAAAGTAGCTGAAACAATGAATAAACTAGCTAATATTAAACGCCTCTCCCCAGATCATCAAATTACATGTAGATATTTTCTTTTTGTGTATTTTAGATATTATACTAAAGCTAAGAGAGTTTTACATCAGTATCAACATATGCCGAGCTTTCAGGGTATAAATACAGATTGTAATATGATTATAGAACAACTTAGACAACAATTACGACAACAATTCAAAGACAAAGAGGTAACAAAAACATAGGATTATTTGGTAATCATAGCTGTAAATGTGTTCACAGATAAAAGACATTGAAGTACATGGCTAAGTTTGAAAGTGTTTGTTGTTCGATTAAATTTTAAATGATTGCGCACATTTTGTGCTTGAAAACGATAAAACACTGTGGTATATATAATAAACCAGAGATTGTATTCCATATAAGTTATCTTTGTGTTTTTATAACAATATTAAAGTTTGAATTCACTGGTAATTACAAATAAAACTGTATTCTTTGAATGGCATTTAGTAATTAGAACATAATCGAATAACACACCATTTATGGATAACAATTACTATGGTTTATTTCACTGCGACGTTTCAATGAGATTTCACAAGTGGTTATCAAGCAATTGTGTTATATGCTTGATAACGACTTGTGAAATCTTGTTGAAACGTCGCAGTGAAATAAACCATAGTAATTGTTATCCATAAATAGTGTGTTATTTGACAAATAAAACTTGCTAATCCTTCATCACAAATGAAACTGGATAATCCTTCATTACAAATTAAACCGGATAATCCGTCATTACAAATAAAACTGGATTATCCATCATTACAAAGGAAACTGGATAATCCTTCATCACAAATGAAACTGGATAATTGTTCATTACAAATGAAACTGGACAATCAGTCACTACAAATGAAACTGGATAATCATTCACTACGAATGAAACCGGATAATCTTTCATTACAAATGAAATTGGATAATCATTCATTACAAATGAAACTTGATAATCATCCATTACATGCTGAGATAAATGTAGTGCCTTGAAATGTGATGTTTACAAGAAGTCATTTCGACCAGTAATGATCTTTTGACAAAATAAAAACATAAAAATAGAAAGCTTTCGCATCAGATTTTTTCGGAAGGATTGTCCGAAAACCAGAATATCTTTTTTGTATGGCCTAACAAAATAAAAACACCAAAATAAAAACACCCCTCCCGCATCAGATTTTATTGATAGGATTATCTGACAAACTTATTGTTTTGATTTTTTGTGTGGCCTAACTTGTTTTTCTTTTTGTTTATATTTACAGTCTTCTCCTAAACAGTTAGCAGAATGTGTTGATTTGTTATTAGAGTTAAATGAACCACCAGAAACATTATGTGATGAATTTCTCTCCCAGTAAGTTCTTATTAACATTTTAATATCAAGCCAATCAAATTGTTCTGTTCATGCTTAAATATTGTCATGGAGTCAACTGGCGTGAAATGGATTCCCCGGTTGTACTTGACAAGGAGTAGGGTCTTCTTTCCAACCTTGTGGGTTTTCTCTGGTTTCCTCCCACTGCTTAAGTATTCACTTAAGATCATAAAGTCTGTCATTGAGTCTAGTCATTTGGATGGGAGGAAAAAACGAGATTCTGGCAGTTGGCATTCGATATAAGAGTAGGCCGTAGTGCCATTGTCCGAGAAAATTCCACTCATGGCACACTGTATGGCATAACAGAACAGTATTACGTTAAACCCCATTTCATTTTTGTCATTGAGTCAAGTGGCATTGTACGTGACAAAAAGTGGGATTATCTTGTGGGGTTTTTCACGGGTACTCTGGTTTCCTCCCACTGTTAAACCCCATCTCTTTCTCTCTGTATTTGAACCAAATGTTTATATATGCTAAGCTTTCTTTCTGTTTCTCCCTTTTCTTGTTAAGTATAATATTTTGTTAAGATTATTTCCATTATATAATTTCAGTGCAAGACAGAAGATAGATGAAGATCTAGATATACTGGATAGACAAATAAAATTACAAGCAGGGGAGATAACTACCACAGAATCTGATCGACCAGCTCAAGCCTATCTAAATACACCTATGGTTGGTTGTTATTATTACAGGAGGGGCGGGTGGTTGAGTAGTATAACGTGTACACTTTAGACCATAAGGTCTGTCATTGAGTCAAGTTGTGTGGTTTCGATTCCCATCTTGTAGATGGCAAGGAGTAGGATCGATCGCCTGACCAACCTCGTGGATTTTCCCCAGGTCCTCTGGTTTCCTCAAACCGCTGAAGACCCTTCAGCTCAAGCGAATTATTGAAATAAAATTGAACCTTATGTTAATCCCGAAATGACATAGTTTGTTTGTAAATTTATTATTATAGGATATATTAGAGTTTGTTATAAAACTTGTTATTTTAGGATATATTAGAATTTGTTGATAATGGTTGTAATGGTTACCTTAGTAACATGTGTTTAGTTATAGCATCGTATAAAGATATGTTTCTACACAGACATCAGGAAGAGTAAGTATAATTCAATTCTTTACACAGAGAACTACGCCATTATAGGTTCCCTATCTACCCAACCACAGAGAACTAGGGTCATCGTACTAACGGCATCATAGGCCCCCAGGCAATGCAGTGCACTGAAGCCTCTATCTACAGAACTACTCACAAGAATGCCAATGTCCACTTGTAAAACAATTATGCATATTTATAGTTAAGCATTTATTGACAGATGTTCACAACATACATAGATTAGCATAAGGGCCCTATGCTTGACCTCCTCCAATCCAAATGACTATATATTGTCCCTTGTCAGGCCCTCCGTCCTACACCACTGACAACGGGGAACCATGTTGAAAATTCCCAAGGGACAGCGTATACACATCAGTTATGTTTCACTGCAAGTCACATGTCTGGCCTCATTAGCTCATTCGATTCCCTGGTTGTACGTGACAAGGAGTTGGGTCGCCTGTCCAACCTCGTGGGTTTTCTCCTGGTCCTGCCGTTTCCTCCCACTGCTAAAGACCCTACGTTCAAGCAAATTATTGAAATAAAATTAAACCATGTGTTAGTTTTGAAATGACCTAGTTTGTGTGGATTGGACATTAAACCCACTCTCTCTCTCTCTCTCACTCTCATTAGCTCAGTGCAGAAAAGGAAGACATTTTGTTTTACTGAGTGAATGTTTTATTTTGCAGTGAGAATCTAGATACAATAGCTTTAAGAAAGCTCTTCATATTTGTAAATGACCTAATGGAACAATACTTTAACTTTGTTCAGAGAAGAGTTCAGCTTGAGGTAAGTTCCTTCCATTCAATACAGTAGTATTTACAGAATTTTAGATTTTCTATAGATGTTGATTGGTGATGGTGTTGGCGGTTAGTTTTGTCATGAGCAGCGTTTTATGACATTATAGCTTTAAAAGTATCGCTTGAAAATAAGTTCAATATATATTAAACCCCAAAATAGAACATAATTATTCAGATTTATACTTTATAACATTCCTTCACTATATTTTATGATTAAATAATCTTGTTTTTAAGGAATTACAGAGGTTTGGGTGGCCGAATGGTTAATGCGTGCGCATTGGATCTGAAGGTCTGTCATTGAGTCAAGTAGCGTGGTATCGATTCCCCGCTTGTAAGTGACATGGAGTAGGGTGGCCAGTCCAATCTCATGGGTTTTCTCTGGGTCCTCTGGTTTCCTCCCACTGCTAAAGATTGAACCATATGTTAGTCCAGAAATAACCTAGTTTGTGTGTGTGTGTGTGTATTTTTCTAATCGTATTTTCTCTCTCTCTTTAATCCATTACAACGAGTAATATATCAAATATATGATTGTTGTCAATATGGCTAAAGTTTAAAATTAGTGTTAAATATATCCTGTAATTGTAAATTCATTTTTTATAATCGTATTTTCTATATTGTATTTAATTTTAGAAAGAGACTGGTGATAATGCCATCTTAGTTCGAGCTTTAGATCGATTTCATCGTAGATTACAAGCTATGAATAAATTACTACCTGACACAGATTTCTCTGCGTAAGTTTTACATTGACAATACATATATGTTCAGTTGGGGGAGGGAAATAGTACAGCAAGCTAGATCTGTATCTAAGGCAGGGAAATAGAACAATGGGAGTGAAACAGCACAGCAAGCTAGATTTGTAACTAAGGGAAATCAATGGCTCAGCAATTAGCAAGCCAGATAGAAGCATCACAAAATATATTAATATTACAACAAAATCTATCTGCCCTTTTATTATTAGATGAACTTAATTGGACAGGACTTTTTATAACTGGGCACCTGTCCATCATATTTAGGTTTTAGCATGTTACTGTATGTTATTAATTTTTTTGTATTTGTAGAGCTGGTTTAGAGATTGTATCAAAGGCTGCTAAAGATAGGGTAGCACATTATCTTCAAGCTCTTAAACAACATTTCACAGGTAGGTAAAACGTGATGGAACAAATTATCTCCCCTTTGATCAACTATGGAATACATTTTAGACAAATTTAGTTAATCATCATTCTTCAGGAAAGTAGTCATAAGGCATAAAATATTGATAGGTGCCTAAGAGTATTGGCATAATCATAAAGAGGTTTCTAATTTAGATATGCAATTTTTTTCTTTCTAATGTGGATCATTAAGGTCTTTTGAAATTTCAAAGATTATGAATAAACATGATGTTCTCATAGACAGCAGAATTATTACTTACTCTAGCTGACCTAGCATACCTTCTCCCTGTATCAAAAAGGGGGTTTTGGTGGTCATGTTGTCTTAACCTTATCATTTTAGATCATAAGATCTGTCATTGAGTCAAATGGCATGGTTTCAATCAAGGGCTTGTACATGACAATGAGTAGGGTCCCCTGCCCAACCTCGTGGGTTTTCTCTGTGTGTTCCAGTTTTCTCCCATTGCTAAAGACCCCTAGGCGCGTATGTGAATTACTGAAGTAAAATTGTACTGTATGTTAGTCCCGAAATTACCTAGTTAATATAAAGTGGACTTTAAACAAATTAACCTTTCTCACTATCTGTTTCAATAGGACTGAAATATTGTGGTGACGCGATGTTAATTCTCTCTCTCTCTGTCATTTAGTCAAATGGCTTGGTTTCGATTCCCTAGTTGTATGTGACAAGGAGTAGGGTCGCCTGTCCAACCTCGAGGGTTTTCTCCGGGTCCTCCAGTTTCCTCCCATTGCTTAAGACCCCTATGTGCAAGCAAATTATTGAAATGAAATTGAACCATATGTCAGTCCCGAAATGACCAAGTTTGTGTCGAATGGACGTTAAACCCCCTCTCTCTCTCTCTCTCTCTCTCTCTCTCTCTCTGTATCAATAGGACTGAAGTATTGTGGTGACATGATATTAAACACTATTCTATTTGATTGCAGATTGTATGACTGATATACGTCAGAAATTAGCAGCACCACGTCCAGCTGGTAAACATGATGGTAGTGCTAATTTGTTTCAACTACTGGGTAATATGCAATCTTCTGTCATGGAGCAGATCAAATCAGTTTTAAATAATCTCCAGGTTCGTTCTATTTCTGGTATTATATTATTGATATGGATGTAAATGTTTTTTTCGGACAGTTAGAATCTATACTTACGATTAAGGCCCTTTGGACATTCGTAATCTATGTGTACGATTAGGGCCCTTTGGACAGTCAGAATCTATGTGTATGATTTAAGCCCTTTGGATACTCAAAATCTATGTGTACGATTAAGGCCCTTTGGACAGTCATAATCTATGTGTTCGATTGAGGCCCTTTTGACAGTCAGAATCTATATGTATAATTTAGGCCCTTTAGAAAGTCGGAATCTATGTGTATGATTTAGGCCCTTTGTGTCATCAACATCACATTATGTCTTTTTTTTGGAGTTTTACATTCAATTTATCTGATATGAAAGTAAATATTTCTTTCAGATTTTCCATAAACTTTTTCAACGTTCTGTTTTCGTTTCGATTTTTACAACAAGGAACAGCGTTGAGTTTGAATAAAAAAAAAACAGAGGTCCTGTGTACTCATCAGCCGAGCACGTTAAAGAACCCTTGACAGTTGCTATCCGGGAAAAATTGCTCTTATAGCGAACTCCATGGTGTGTGCCCGTCTCTATTAGCCCAGGGGAAGTCGGATGGCCGAATAGTTAGCTTTGCATCATAAGGTTTGTTATTGAGTCAACTGGCGTGGTTTTGATTCCCCGCTTGTATGTGACAAGGAGTAGAGTCCCCTGTCCAACCTCGTGGGTTTTCTCCAGTTCCCTCCCACTGCTAAAGACCCCTACGCGCAAGAAAATTATTTAGATAAAATTGAACCATATGTTAGTCCCAAAAATGACCTAGTTTGTGTCGAGTGGACGTTAAACTGCATTTCTCTTTATCTGTCTCATGAGCCCAGTCGGTGCAGAAAATTATAACATTAAACCACTTTTCATTTCATTTTGTATGATTGTTATTTTTTACTTGTTTATTTTTCAGGCATTTACAGCATCGGATATTACATTTGCTATGAAGCCGTATTTCCGTGGAGCTTTCTGTACACAAGATGTCAGAGAGGGATTAATAGTAGCATTTATAAAACATATCTGTACTACTTGTAATGTTAGTTATTATTATTACTTTACCTAAGGGTACATAGGGGGGGTGGGTGGCCGAATGGTTAACGCATGCGCATGGAATCATAAGGTCTGTCATTGACAAGGACTAGGGTCGCATATGGGTTTTCTCCCGGTCCTCCGGTTTTCCTCCCACTGCTAAAGACCCTTACGCGGCAAGCGAATTATTGCTGCAATCTTACTAGACAAATGCTAGATTCCCTGATTGCCACAGGACAAAAGTGTCACTAACTGGCAGCATGTCTGCTCAAATGACCTAAAGAGCTAGTGATATTGAGAACATTGAGAGACTTAAACATACTAGGGGGGTGGAATTTGGCCGAATGGTTAGCACATGCACACTGTATCATAGGGTCTGTCATTGAGACAACTGGCGGGATTTTGATTCCCCAGTTGTACTTGATAAGGAGTAGGGTCGCCTGTCCAACCTTGTGGGTTTTCTCCGGGTCCTCTGAATTCCTCCCACTACTAAAGACCCCCTACGCACAAGCGAATTATTGAAATAAAATTGGTTGAACCTAGTTTATGTCGAGTGGACGTTAAACCCCATTTCTCTCTCTCTCTCTCTCTCCAATTACTATTTAAAAATCTTGATCATAATGCATCTTTAATCTTTATAATATTATTGATGTTTTACAGGAGTTTTGTGAATTTGTTGGTGATAAAGGATCTATACCCCCCTCGTTATTGTTGATATTAGCTCGTTATTGTTCAGATTTAGAAACAGCTACAATATCGTATTTGGTATGTAAATGATTAATGCTAGTTCTACCATAAAATCAAGTGGGATTTAAAGGGGAGGTGGAATGGTCT